TTTCCAGCAGGAAACATGAAAACACATACAAAATTTAAGTGCCAACAATATGTTTCTCTCCAGTATCCAGCCTCCCAAATCTCCCACTCCCGGGAGAAACGACAAACCATTCCTAAATAGTCACCAAACATGGGCTACGTGGAATTCAAGGGAAGGAGCAAAGTCCAAAAGCAACAGCCCCTCTAAGAGAATGCCCTTCAATAGCACAATTCAACCAGGCAGAATCAAGACCCCATTAAGTTAGGTGCTGTACAAAATTTTACAAGAAAATATTTTAAAATCTGCTTCCATCTCTACAGTTGCCACTGGGCACGTGGTAGGAAATAGTACAAAATTTTACAAGAAAATATTTTAAAATCTGCTCCCATCTCTACAGTTGCCACTGGGCACATGGTAGGGAATGAAATGCACTAGCTTTAGAATACTACCTGAGACTTGGGGCAAGGTAGGGGCACTTCTTCCTTTGATCTCATTTTCCAGAAGCAAGGCAGGGCAGAGATATATGTAGACATAGATACCCTGCTAATGTGGCATTGCGGCATATTAGCTAACATAAGAATGGCCATACAGGGTCGACCAACAGTCCATCCAGCCCAGTATCCTGTCTGCCGACAGTGGCCAATACCAGATGCCCCAGAGGAAGGGAACACAACAGGTAAACCTCACGTGATCCCTCCTGTCACCCACTTCCAGAGAAACAGAGGCTAGGGACACCATTCCTACCCATCTTGGCTAATAGCCATGAATCTAACCTCCATGAATCATCTACCTCTTTTTTTAACCCTGTTAAAGTCCTAGCCTTCACTACATCCTCTGGCAAGGAGTTCCACAGGTTGACTGTGCACTGAGTGAAGAAAAACTTCCTTTTGTTTGTTTTACACCTGCTGCCTATTAATTTATATTTTGTGACCCCTAGTTCTTAAAGGTCTGGATAGATAGGGAAACTGAAGTTCCTTCAGGCAAGGACCTTGTCCTCTATCAGTATATAGTGTAAAGTATAAGTTCAGCAGTAAACCAGTCTCAGACCATAGCGAATTATTCATGTAACTGGTTCAAATCACAGATGAAAGTGTGTGTTTAAAAGGTTATTTTGGGATGGAGGCATGTATAAAAACTTGTCTAAGATCAAATATAAAGACTTTATTCATCATTTTCATCATGTAAAACCAAACTTGGGAATGTGAAAATCGTAAGCACAAATTCTTTTGTTCATTTTTTTTGGAAATCATAAATTGTTCCTAAGCACAGGAAGGACAGTCTGTTCCCAGCTCTCATCCCACCTCAGCTGCTTGGATTCCTGAAGATTTCTTCTGAACGTATGAAGTTTGCTTTCAGGGGTAGGAAATTCCAAAAAGAGCATCTGCAAGGTTAAAGAAATAACACAGAAATTAAGTATTACACTTCTAGCTTCTCCCACCCCTTGTAACTTCAATGGATAGATTACTAGGAGAGGAGCTGTAAGGTGGACTCTCCTCCTAGATCTCTAGGTACCGCAAGATGATAAAATATTTAAAATGTGCTTTCTTGCTTTACATTCATACACAAATAGATGTAGCCAATAAAATCTGTAACTATAGGCAGCAAATTCCTCCTGAGATGCATATTTAAAGTTAAATCCACACAGATAATTATTAATACTCAATACTATTCAATGCTGACTTACAGTATATACAAATAAATAAACCCAAAAAGCAGCACTGCCCAAAAGCAAACGATGTGAGAGAACAGAGGAAGAAAAAACATAATAGGATATATGATCTCCTCACTCCATACTTGCAAAGCTGTACCTTCCCATTAACAAGGAAAAGGAAACAAATTATTTGAGCTTCTAATATCTTTACCTTCAGCTGTTCTGCGAGTTCATTAGAGTCCTTAAATATCAAACCGTTTTCATCATGTTTCACAAGTTCGTGTAAACTGTGAACAAAACCAGTGAAGAAAATGTGAGAACAGCATAAAAGTCTCCTCCACTTCAATACTTGCAGAGATTCCTGTATTGTAGTCCTATCAAATACTATGGGGACAATCTATAGACTAGAGAGATTTTCTCCTAAGTGGTCTCCCTCTATTCATATCATATTAGCCCAGTCCATCCATTTAACCTAAACTGAGCCAATCAGCCCTTAAACTCCAGGGCTTGCAGGCTTCTCTTGTCTCCCGGTCAGTTCCTTGGAGGCAGTCTGGCACGGCGTTGATGCCCATCCTCTATCCCGGGCCTTTCTGTTCACCTTCCTTGATAGCTCGACTTGTTTTCCCTATTAGTCTCAGTTGTGGGTGCATGCCTCTGTTATGGGTGGTTCTGGCAGCTGTGCTGGGGTATAGTCAGTCTGGTTGCGTGTGAAACAATATGCAGGACTATGTAGCATTTTAAAGACTAACAAGATGGTTTATTAGATGAGCTTTCGTGGACTAGACCCACTTCCTCAGATCAAATAGTGGAAGAAAATAGTCACAACCGTATATACCAAAGGATACAATTAAAAAAAAGTGAACACATATGAAAAGGACAAATCACATTTCAGAACAGAAAGGGGATGCGGGGGGGAGGAAGGTAAATGTCTGTGAGCTAATGGTATTAGAGGTGATAATTGGGGAAGCTATCTTTGTAATGGGTAAGGTAGTTGGTGTCTTTGTTGAGCCCCCCGCGAAGAGTGTTGAATTTTAGCATGAATGACAGTTCAGAGGATTCCCTTTCAAGTGCAGATTTGAAAGTCTTCTGGAGTAGGATGCAGGTAATTAGGTCGTTGAGACAGTGTCCTTTCTGGTTGAAATGGCAAGAAACTGTTTTTTCTTTGTGATCCTGTCTAATATCTGTTTTGTGGGCATTGATCCTTTGGCGAAGTGTCTGAGACGTTTGTCCAATGAACATAGCAGACGGAAACTTTCGGCACATGATAGCATAAATTATATTTCTGGATGCGCAGGAATATGTATTCTTGATCTTATAACTCACTTGGTTAGGCCCAATAATGGTAACAGCAGAGTGAATATGTGAGCAGGGAAGACTCCTATGTCTTCTACCCATGCTTAGTGTGGGGCTTGTAAACCCTAAAATAACCCCCATGTTGTTGAGATCCTGGATCTCTAGACAAATTCCATTCCTTACATAGGCTGAAAATGACAGAAGAAGATTAGTCCTCCCCTCCAAGCATAAGAAGCCCATCCAGAACTGCTGCTACACACAGGCTGTGTCTACACTGCACCCCTTTTCCAGAAAAGGGATGCAGATTAGACACTTTGGAACAGGCAAATCCGCGGGGGATTTAAATATCCCCCGCGGTATTTGCATTAACATGGCTGCCGCTTTTTTCCCGCCTGGGGGAAAGATGCAGCACGTTGGAATAGGCAAATCCGTGGTTATTCCTACTTCAAAGTAGGAATAAGAGATCCTCCGGAAAAGGCTTTATTTTCTGGAGAATCACGTCTAGACTGGCGCTTTTCTCCGGCTTATCTCCAAGCCGGAAAAAAGCGGTAGCCATGTTAATGCAAATACCGCGGGGGATATTTAAATCCCCTGCGGACTTGCCTATTCCAAAGTGCTACATTAGCATCCCTTTTCCAGAAGGGATGCCAGTGTAGACAGAGCCACAGTGTATTACCAAACTTAGAAATTCTTCCTCTTGGGGAGGAATAAAAAGGATACAGTGGCGACATGTTATTTGGTCCGCCAGCACAGAGTAATGTACAGTTGCAGTCATCAGGCTTTGTTAGCCCATTGTAACTAAAGCCATTCGTTTCAATAATGACCAGTATGCAGTGCTCTATTGTATGTAACCCTTCCGAAACACAGGTCTTGCACAGTCACAGAGTCTAAAGGAAGCTAGGACAGAAGAATAAGTCTTCTTTCACATGTAACAGGTTCAATTATAATGCTTTCTAAGTCTCCCTTACATTGCACTGCACCCGTGCATTTACCAACATGTAGCTTACCAAACTATAGTACAACTTACAGTAAGGATGGTTTACATTAATTTGCAGCCTATTTACTGGTGTACATTCTAGCCCCTCTGTTCCATCCCTATGGCATACAAATTACACCACTTTGGACTTAGACTCAGTAGGTCAAATTTTGGTGATGTATAAGATTGTGTAAAATTACATATTGTAACTTGATAGCTGGGTGAGAGTCTAAGTTATACATTGCATAACGAAATGGCTGAAAAATGGCTAAATTACAGCAGATTTTATTCTCAGAATTTGCCCATGAAGCAGGATAGATTAAATTGCAGCAACCTATAACACAGTGCAGTGATTTTCTTTGAGGATTTTTTTTTCCAAGCGGAACTCTTTAAAATTTGAAATGTGCATTTTTCACTTGAAGATACCAAGATCATACTGTAAGCTAGTGTATTTTATAGGCTTAGTAAACCGATCCTATTAAAAAAATCACACAAAAAGAGTGTTCATTATATATTGCAGTCATGAACAATAATATCACAGAATAGTCTCTGCTGCTGTCACCAGCAATGTCATAGCACAAGACAAAGTATCTTTACATTATGAAAGCCATATTTCTCCTAAAAGGTACAGGTACTTTATAAATAGTGGATACAGTAACACTTCATCAATCTCTGAGGTTTAGACAATCCTAGGGTGGAATGAAGCATCTCTCAAACAGTACAGAGAAACAAATCCAGTAGTTTAGAATAGGAAAACTGGCTAGGATACCGCAATTAATACCCTAATATTTCCACAGCAAAAAAGTGAATATAAGAACAGCCATAGTGTAGGATACCGCAATTAATACCCTAATATTTCCACACCAAAAAAGTGAATACAAGAACATAAGAACAGCCATAGCGTGTCAGTCCAAAGGTCCATCTAGCCCAGTATCCTGTCTTCCAACAGTGGCCAATGCCAGGTGCCCCAGAGAAATGAAAACAACAGGGTGATCCCTCCCCTGTCACCCATTTCCAGCCTCTGACAAACAGAGACTAGGGATATCTTTCCTACCCATCCTGGCTAATAAGCATTGATGGACCTAATCTCCATGAATTTATCTAGTTCTTCTTTGAACCCTGTTAAGTCCTGGTCTTCACAACATCTTCTAGAAAGAAGTTCCACAAGTTGACTGTGTGCTATGTGAAGAAAAACTTTTGTTTGTTATAAACCTGCTACCTATTAATTTCATTTGGTGACCTCTAGTTCTTATGCTATGAGAACAAACAAATAACTTTTCCTTATTCACTTTCTTCATACCAGTCATGATTTTATAGACCTCTCATATCTCCCTTTAGTCTCCTCTTTTCTAAGATGAAATGTCTCAGTCTTTTTAATCTCTCTTCATATGGCAACTGCTTTAAACCCCTAATCATGTTCGTTGCCCTTTTCTAACTTTTTCCAATACTAAGATATCCAAGTGTTCATTTTCAAAATGACCTCTACATGTCATAAGTTATTTTATTTACCTTATGAATCTCCATCCCTAGAGGTTTTTAAGTCTCAGCTTGACAAAGCCCTGTCTGGCTTGATTTAGTTGGGATCCGTCCTGCTTTGGGCAGGGGGCTGGACTAAATGACATTCTGAGGTCTCTTCCAGCCCTATGATTCTATGATATAATTGTGCCATAATTAACAATATATATCAGCAGCAATTGTTATAATGTGATTCTGTAGCAAACTATCCTATTTGTTTTAAAAAAAATATTTTTGGGTTCTTTTATTCTAGGTCAAAATAAGCAAACTCTTACCACTGGAAATGTACTGCACACACAGGCAAACAACAGCCAAACATATCCACCACCTTCATAGGCAGATCTAGGCCACTAGATGATTTGTGGAGACAGACACCCAAATCTGCTGACCCTATAAATGATAAAGGAAACAAAACTGACTTTAATAAGTTTCTTCTGAAAGTGATTAACTCTAAAGGTTATTCTGCAAATACACCATTTATTAACCATTAACAGTTTCTGAGGAAAATAGTTTCCTTTGGTGCCACTTAAACATAACTGCTTGGAATATCATTAATGTCAGAATTCAGGTGAGTAAAAGCCATACAATTTTGTATTTTTTAGAATAGCTGCGATTTAGAAGCATACTAACGAGGTTATGTTAAGTGGAGAAGAGAAATTGAAAAAAAAAGAACAGATTTTATACACTTACTCTAGCCCCATGCATTACAAATGGTAATAAAAACATTAAAATTGATCCTGCCACAATGTAGGGGGATGAAATAGATGACCCACGGGGGACTCTTCCAATCCAAATGCCTTAACAATACATGGACAATTTATGGAGTCCAAGTTGACAGAGATGAATATTCATCACTTACAAACCACCACTGATATACATGCTGCTTTACAGTCAAATAAACTGAGAGTGGCAGACTCAAGGGGCTTAAATCAAGCAGAACTTGTATTTTGCCATTATTTTATCCTTATATACTTTTATTAAGCTTCATTTATCTAAAATGCTAAGGAAGTATAAACATTCTATTTCCTCATCTCCTCAGCTACTTTCAGTAGTTCAGCTAGAAACTCTCCAATGTGATCTTGCTGAACAGAACCCTGAGACTATATAGAACAGAAATCAATCCAGTATATTAGCCTATCTGAAAAATCAAAAGGTGGCAAACAGACGCTTTTTAATACAGAGATCAGGCTTGTTCAGGGTGGTATGATCATAGATCTATGACCATACCTTCAAGATGGAATTCTACACTTAGTTACCTGAATAGGAGGAGAAACTGCAGTTTCAAAATTTAAACAATTTCTCAGTCAAAAGAAAAGGCACAAATTACAGTTATATATTTTATTCTTAACAAACAATTTAAGTTTATTGTGGTATTCCTGTACCTACTTTCCAAAATAAGGGCTGGCAATTTCCCAGGAAAATCTAGTTCAGGACAGAACACTGGTAAATACCAGCTTAAACCAAGTTTAAACCAGGAAACTGGGAAGAATAATTTCATCAGGATTCAGAAAATTCAAAATCATTTTTTTCAGACTTGTGATACATCTATTCAAATTTGAGAAACAGGCATGGGCTATTCATTACATCAAAGCTGGTCTTCTGCTACAAGATGTTGCATGGCCAAACAGAGCTGGACTGTTGGTCTGCAACTCTGCATGCTTCTGATTGTTTAGTGCTTCAAGCTTACAACTCTGTGTTGTTTTCATATAATAAAATGTTTTCAATATTTTTATGAGATACTGAAAACTGAGTCGTAACATGTATCACTTCCTTGAGAAAATAAACCAAAATGTAGACATGCCTATGTTCAATACTGTTGAGAAAATAAACCAAAATGTAGACATGGTCCAATACTGCATTATAATTACATATATTAGTAATGATGCCCATTGTAGTTTTATTTGTATTTGTACAACCCTAAATTAACCTACACATCAACTGCTTTGCATAACCCCAATTGGAATATGTATCTAAAATTAAGTTCAAGTGGCATTATTAACAAAACAGTTTTAAAAATAGAAATTACCTTAAACTGACACTAACAAGTTTTTTCCAATGTGGCAAATGCATAATTTTACCTGGTAAAAAAATCACCTGATAAATACCATGCCATCTTTGCCCAAAATTCTCAACAGCTATCCATAACCTTTGCTCAAGACTCACACATTGTTCCTGAGTCTTTAAAGCTTTTTCAACAATTGTAATCCATTATTTACCAAGCAGAACAGGGTAATCCTCAGCTTCAAGCCACGGTGTACAGATCTGGATGTGTTTAAAGTGCATTTTGTCTATCAGACTGTTGTAGTGCTTTTTTAAAGGTCCTTTCCCTTTTAAATGGAAAACAAACACAATATATATTAGTGTTTTTGCTGTAATTATCAAAAGTGGGGGTTTGTCTACACATTATAGTCTAGTGATAAAGAGCACATCTCATTTGTATTCCTAGATTGTAAGGTATTTGAAGAAGGGGCTGCATCTTCATCAGTGTTCATAAGGGTCTAGCATAATGACATTGAACCTGAATGGGTCTTCTGAGGGCAACCATAACTTATAGAAATAAATTGTAAATAAACCATTATCAGATACAAATCCACTGAAAGATGGCTCCCTCCCGCAGCACGGTGCCCTGCTAGCTTCATGCTAAGTTATTAGTTTTGTACTAGGAGGAAAAAATATCATTTGTTGAACAGCCTACAGCATTTTGCAAAAACCTCACAGTCAACCAGTAAGTCTCCTTAGCAAGTACTAGACAAATGTCTATTTATAGCAAATACCATTTAAACCCATATTTTAAGTTGTTTTACCAGCATTACTTCACTATTCAAATTCTGAAAATACGTCCAAAGGAATTACAGAATACAATACAATTGCTAGATTTGTATGCTGTAGCATCTTTTATTTTAAAATGCAAACATACCATCATTCTTGATTTTTGTTCCAACCACTGATGTGTTAAATCAGTGCCAAACAAATATTCTATTCCTTTTGTTACTTCATAAAGATAAAAAAAATCTATTTAAAAGTCAATCTAGTGGGATGACAAAAATTAATCCTCTGGTATCAGCTTTGAAAAGGAACAGAAAATAACAATTAAAAAGTGGTACCTGTTATCACACATATTAAAGAAGGAAGCTTGATTCCATCATTGACATACTCTTCATAATCTACAAAACAAATAAAGTTATTTTGTGTGTGCCCAGATACACACACTCTCGGTTAAGAATAATTCTCCTGTACAAATGAACACTATTTCAGACAAATAGAAAAAAACTACAGGCAAACATGCAAATTGACATTGGGTACTGTGATTCTAATTTGAGCCTCTCATAACAGTCATTATGCAAAGTAATAACTCTTCATAAGGAATCACCTAGTCCTCTCTGAAACATGCTGCATACTTAAAGAAATCAGTTTGCAAAGTTTAGTCATAAGTGTGTGTCACCCACAATGCTGCTAGGGCAAATCCTGTTGCCTCCTCCTCATGCAGACAATCCCTGATTGTGAAGTGGGTGCAAGAATTTTCATTTTATGAAAATAAAAAATTCATTATAACTGATTTCTCCGAGTTTTTTAAAAGTGGGTGCAAGAATTTTCATTTTATGAAAATAAAAAATTCATTAAAACTGATTTCTCAGAGTTTTTTAAAATATATATATATTGACAGATTTTGTTTTTAATACTATATAAACAAACTATATGGATATTATGCTTTTAAATGTACAGTTCATGAAAACTGCAGCAACCCCACATTACTCTTTGACCACTTCCAGCTGTTTCTTCTTGTTAGGTTAAAAAATCCAGTCAAACAGATTATCCAAATTGCTTAATGGGGGTTCCCTCTTTCTTGAAATCATCTCACCAGGAATTTGAAAGTGTGTGTCTGTGTCTCTATGGGTGCTAAAATGGCCATCGGAGCTTTCTTACACAAAAGCACATCTATACTGGGCACGGATGCTTTTGCACAAAAGCACTTTTTGTGCAAAAGCTTCCGTGCCAATCTAGACACTCTTTTGTGGAAATACTTTTAACGGAAAATCTTTTCCGTTAAAAGTATTTCCGCAAAATCATGCCAGTCTAGACGCAGCCTATGTGTATATGTTGTGTAACAGGGTGGTTTGCCTAATGGGCTGGAGCACTTGGATCTAAGCCAACTCTGATTACGGAATGAGTCCACCTGAGCCTAACTTCCCCCAAATCAATGGCTGCTTGGGCTGATGCAGTTAAGGCATGTCAGTTTCACAGCCCACTGTACACAGAGAGTGATAGGGCCAGTAATATGTCCAACTCCCGCTGACCGCCCTAACATTGTGGAACAGGTACACATTTTGCATCTGACTGAACAGGAGATAGCCTTTCAATGAGTGATATCTGAATCCACAAGCACTCACCCATTGCATGTCACATCAAGTAATTCCCAATAAAGGACAAAAGGTGGCTGCACTGAAGGGGAGGTCCTCAGGGAGAACAGAGACTGCTAGGACTGAGCATGCTCCAGCAGAGTCCAGGGATCTGAGACTAAGTCTCCAGACAGGAAGGACTAGGAATAGCCTGCTAAGGCAGGAGAGACACTGGACCTCCTGTCATAGAGGCCTGGGAGTAGTAGGAGAAATGTCTGGTTAGGGGACTTCAATTTGGGGCTGTGATGGGTTGGAGTGTTGGCCAGCACTCGGTGAATAAAGGGTTAAACTCAGATAGCTAGCAAGAGTGCTGGCCGGGGGCCAAAAGAACCAATGGGATACAGTACTGAAATCTGAATTGCATATAGATACCTGATCTGCTCTTCCTTTATGTGACTTCTAAGTTAAGGGCTGGAGGGAACAACATGCAGTAATCAGAATTACCATGCCTACAAGGAATTCAGGGCATGGAAGTGGACTAAACCAGGAAGGGATCATGAGTAAATCAAGGAAAAATGTGTATTTAGTCGCGATCAGGGTGGTTCTTTTGTTGTGGTTGTTTGTTTAAATTTCTCTGTGTGAATCTGTGCCTTCCCTCCCCCATTGACTATCTAAGAGCATACCCAGAGATGTTCTCTGTGTTTTAATTCGTCTTACTCAGTTGCTCTGAATCAGCTAGCAATCAAGTACGTTTTATCAAGTATATCTTTTTGTTTTGTTAATAAAATCACCTTTTTTTATGGTGATGATTTGATTCTTGTGTCCTGGGAAGAAACAGGAGGTCTGTCTGTGTGTCTGCCTAGCCTGAGAGCTCAGCTATCAAAGACACAATTTGTTGCTTTTGTTTCTTTTTTCAAGCTCTCTGGTGGCAGAGGAGTTTGAAATACCCCTAGGGAAGGAAATCCAAGTTTTTTCTTCCTAAGTTCAAGAACAAAGGGGTTTGTTGCACTTGGTAGTGGCAACTACCCCCTAAAGTCAGTAAATCTGTGACTCTGGGGAGTTTGTAAGCAGAGCCTACAGAGGCAAGATATTGAAGGTCTCTTGCTGACTCCCATCATCTTCACTCAGAGTGCCAGAGTGGGGACCAGCCTTGACAGGGGGCTTTGAATGACTGAGACTAAACCCAGACCTGTATAAGGAACCTTTGTGGGAGAAGCAAAGGCACCCCAGGCACAAGAGGAAGCTCAGTAGCAGCAATACCACTTCATGCTGCATACAAACTAAAGCTGTAACTCACCTTATCAAGTAGTTGGAAATAGATTTCCTAATGATAAATATTTTAATTGTATCCTGCACATAACTATGATCTTAACGTATTTTTTTTAACCCCTATACTGCGACAAACTACTCCGACCCTTAAATGCCTGTGAATTTTCATTTGCACATGAAGGCTACATCTACACTATAGCCTTCTTCCTGAAAAACTTATGCAAATGAAGCGCTGAGTGGAATATCACCATGCTTCAATTGCATAATTAATCAGCAACTAACTGTTTTTGCACAAGAGGCTTTTGCGCAAAAAGGAGCTGTGTAGACGGTTCCTTTTTGCACAAAAGCCTCTTGCGCAACAAACAGCTGCTAATTAATTATGCAAATGAACTGCGGCGATATTCCACTCCGTGCTTCATTTGCATAAGCTTTTCAGTAAAAAGGCTACAGTGTAGATGTAGCTGAAGGCACTGTTCTTTAAAGAAGCGCTCAGTAATTGTTAAGAATAAATAAGACTCTTTAAATAGCCAAAGAAAACTTCATGATACTTACTTTCTAAAGCTTTTAAAAGAATAGAAAAATCTTCATCCTCTGGAAAAGAAAGGTGTATTAGTGACATTGCTAGCATTTGTAGCTGTAAAAACTTATTCTCTTTAAAGGATAGCAATCATGACTTTCCTCATCTTCACTGAAGTGACATTTTCAATATGGTTTTAATGTTATAGGTACTATAAATGTAATGCTAATAAAAGCCTGTATTCCTGCATTTAATGGAATCTTTTCCAACAATTACACAAAAACTGAAGTCAAACAGCATCCCAATAGCACATCATTTCAATTTTATTAGACATTCTTGCCCAGTTAATTCTAATGGAAGATGCACACTTCCATTCTCAATTGCAACACAGCAGATTTTGTTCCAGCTTTATACCTTTTCAAAACAAGTAATTCTCTCAGTGCATTAATATATGTAATAAATGTACCAGGAAATGAAAGACAAAACATTTAACTTATTAGAGCCATTCTATAGCACCATGCAAACATAGTAAGCATACTTCTAATGTTAGATGATGATAGGACTTGTTTCTCTAATTGTTCATGGAGCTCGACATTTACCTTATAACTCCATAATTAAACTAAAAAATTCAATGGATTATGGTCCTCATATGCAGACACTGAGAGTCCATATAGCTGATCTGCAAATTCTTCCTGTTAATCAAAAGAAATGTATACAACTTTGTTTTTGCTCATTGTAATGTCCTGTATCAGAGCAAAGTTTATGTGTGGGGGAGGGTGGAACAGTTCTAATGTCTATCAACTGTTTAATGTAAAATTATTATACAGGACTTTTAACAACAAACACCAATTTGATTCAAGACCTGTCCAGCTGGTGCTGCTGATTAGAAGAGCTGGTCTCTCTCTATCTTGTGTCACACTTCCATTTCTGACATCTAGCTCTGTAAATGCAGACTTCTCAACGTCTTGACATATGGAGTCTATTCTGTAAATAGGATTTAGAGAGCATCATTATTAATCCCAAGATATACTATCTAAGGATGTGTATGAATATAATCAAATACTGTACCAAAGGGTATGAATTTCACAACATTCTGGCTCCAAATGCATCATTTAACATCTCTGGGGAGTCCTTCATTTTGGTGGTGAGCATCTGAGTATCACAATGATGTGACTCAGATGATTCTTTTCCTAGCTTTCACTGACATCCTAGCTATACTACTTCCAAGGAGTCTCCAATCTGTACTTCATTTACCTTGAAGATGATGGCCCACACTGTTCAATCAAATATACCTGGAATCAATTCACTCTACACTAAGGATTTTAAAAAGCAAGCTGCACTGAGTGTCCTCAGGGTTTTCAAGCCATTTCTCACTGTACAGTCATCTGCCATGATATTTATAATATGCAGTATAGCTGTCAGTCGCAGGGTATTGGAGGGACAAGATGGGTGACATAATATCTTTTATTCTTCAGGAAGATCTTTGTGGTTCAAAAGCCTGTCTCTGTCCAACACACTCACACAGAAATTGGTCCAGGAAAATGTATTACCTCGTCTTCCTTTTTTCTATGATATTTACTATGGTAAACATCACACAAACTTCTGGAGAAAAAATCTTAATATTAGCTCATGATTTTGAAAAATCTGAAATGAATATGAATGGGGCTCTTTTTATGAGGAAGCCAGTACCAGTCATTATTTAGCTCACCGGGAATTTGACAATTGCCAAATTTCTTTCTTTGACTGTCTAGCAAGGGATGTTTCAGTAGCTATATCTGAGGGTTTTTAACAGCAAGATTCACCTTAGCCTCAATCTAGCTCCCCACATCTACATAAGGGCCTTATATCAAAGTCTACTTCAAGCCACAGAGGCTCCAGTGTATTCATGGTAAGTGAGCAGATCTAATTCACTGAAAGCAACTATGAAACAGATGAGCCATTTTGCCCAGAGGTAGAGGAACACAGGTTAGGAGTCCCAGAAACTTCATATCACCTCCATGAAAGATGGTGCTACTTCAAAGATTAATACTGCATGAGAGGGACAAACCTTTAACTTGTTGCAAAATCATTATATTACATATTTTATAGGTTTATTTAATGTTAAGTTACTACAAACCTGTCTGATTAATTTGGGGAGATATTTAAGGCTTATAGCCTTAAATATGGTTCTTGGAGAATAACAGTTCACATTATGGTTTTGAGATACAATTTGTATCGATTACACTATTACTCGATAAGAGAAGGCACTCTGTCCTGGTTTGAGCTGGTCCAGCTGCACAGGCAGCCCAGCTCCTACTACATTTAAACTGCAGAGCCACAGCGGGGGTAGGTCCTGGACCAGCACAAGCCTGGACAGAGCTGGGACCGCTGCAGCTCTGCATATTAAATGTAGTAAATCCTCCTGGCTCTTACTACATTTAAAATGTAGAGCCACACTGGGGGTAGCTCATGGACCCGGCATGAACTGTGACCGAGGAGTCCCAACTCCACCAGGTCCAGGACCACTGTAGCTCTGCATTTTAAATGTAGTAAGAGCCGGGCGGTTGCAGCAAAGGTGGGGGGGGGAGCAGGAGCTGGTGCTGGGTGAAGCTGGCTTAAAAGCCAGTTCCCCCAAGCACCATCTCTGTGGTACGCAGGGGGAGAGGCAAGGTAGGCAGAGCTGCAGTGGTCCCAGAGCTGGTGCAAGCCGGGACTACTCAGTCCCGGGCTTGTGCTGGCTCCAGAAGTTACCCCCCAGTGTGGCTCTGCATTTTAAATGCAGTAAGAGCTGGGCAGCTTAGTCCCAGCTCACGCTAGCTCCAGGAGCTACCCCCACTGCAACTCTCTAGTTTAAATGTAAAAGGAGATGGACTACCTACATGCCCAGCACCAACTACATTTAAACTGCAGAGCCGCAGTCAAGGTAGCTCCTGAACCCAGTGCAAGCCAGGACAGAACGCGCAGTCAAGGTAGCTCCTGGACCCAGTGCAAGCCAGGACAGAACGCCTCTCTTTATCAACTAATCATGTAGTCAGTACAAATTGTATTGATTATCCAATTAGCCAGTTACTTGCTTCTTAACATCCTTAGTTGCCCACACAGAATTTCCTTTCCCCACAAGAAAGGGCTGCTGTGCTGATGGCAGCAATGACGTACCACTGGACCTGGCAGAGTGCCGCTTGACTCTAGAAGACACTAGGGCAGGGTTTCCCAACCTATGGGTTGGGACCCAAATATGGGTCGCCATTACATTTCAAAAGGGTCACCAAGTGTCCCCCCAGGTGGCTCTATCCTCCCTACTCCCCCTGTTTTTGAACTGCCTTGGGTCACCAAGTCTTCCTGAATTGTTAAGGTAGGGTCCCCAGCTGGAAAAGGTTGGGAACCGCTGCTCTACGGGAAGATGGAGGGTTCCCAGCAGCTGCAGTTTCCTCTAAGGGAAGGAGATGGCAACGCACAGGAAGTGCCAAGCAAGCCTGGGATCAAGCATCAAGCTGTTCCTTCCTCTGGAGCCATGGGTGCTAAGATGTAGAAGGGTGGGTATCTGAGTTAGGGTGGGCCCTGTAGCTAGATTTTGGAGGGAGGGTGTATGGGTATCTGGGGTAGGTGCTCGGCTTTGGGGAGTTGTTGGTGAGTGCCTGGCCCCCCCATCTGGGCTCTGCACGAGGGATTGGGCAGAGAAACAGGAACTGGGTTGTCACAGGAGTTATTTTAATTCTACTCCTGAGGGAATTTTTCTGTGTGTGTGTGTGTGTGTGTGCTCTGATAACTCCTGAGGGAATTTTTCTGTGTGTGTGTGTGTGTGTGTGTACTGTTACAGACATACTTGCTGACAAATATTGTGAAATAAATTGCCAAAATAATTGAAACTGGTGTGATTATGCAGTGTTATTTTGAGAAATAAAATTTGCAGAATTGTAAAATATTACACAAGTTTTTAATTTAATTTAATTTTTTTTGTGCAGGATTTTTAAATTTTGGCACAGAATTCCCCCAAGAGCAATGTAACTAAAATGGTAGCATGATCACATCCATGGATCTGCATTAAGAAAAACAAGTATTTAGATTTAGCCTACCCTTTTGTTTTTCTGGACTATAAATATTCAGTGACTTGTGGGATAAAATTATTTGGTACTTGACGCCTTAAAAAAACACCCTTTTCCATTCCACATGTACTTGTGAATCACATCAACAACAGCCAAGATGAGCTGAAGTCAGTTAATGGGGAAGAAGCATATACTGAGTTTCTAAACTAAGTATGCTGGCTTGTCTTAGTTAATAAAGACTGTTAGAGCATCTGTTACTTATACGTACCCTCTTTTAAATGGAGCATAATCTTTAGCAAGTTTCATGTACAATTTATGCTGAAGTTCTAACGATGTTTCCTTAAAAAAAGAAGCTGGCTTGTCATATAGGGTTATTGCTCTGTGGAGAAACAAATAATTATATATATATAAAAGGCAATTAAAAGTATCAATAGAACAAAACAATTAATCATCTGATTCTGAAAACACCCCTAAACTGTAAACAATTAAACAGCTGATTAGTTCTACTGACTTCAGTATGACCACTCATCACATGCAAAAAGTTAAAGACAGGATTGGGGGCCTTGATCTATCAAGAAAGAAAAGTATCTATTTTAGTTGTTAATGCTTTTCATTGTGAACTTTTTTTAAGGTCCAATGTGTTTATCCATGGTGCGCTCACACCCTAGCTGCTTCATCACACAAAAAATTCTCTCTAACCAGGAATTACTTTTATTTATTACTCATACTTATGTTCTTCTGAGGTTAGGAATTCCTCCAATGGTTAAATTTCAATAGAAGATTCATCCTTCACTTCCACTATTACTAAAACACTCAATCACTTCATGCTTACTTCCATGCCTGCGTGGGTGCCAAAAATCCCAGAGGTCCCCTCTCTAACTGGAATGTTAGAAGGGGGCGGGGGGGAGAGGTTTGTAAACATGTAGCCACTGAAATTTTCAGTGCTTACAAGTTTACACTCGGGGGAGAGGCAGCTCTGCAGGAACCGGTGCACCTGGGCAACCAGCTTTTAAGTCATCTCCCCCACAAGCATTAGTTCCTGAAGAGCCATCTGCCTCTCCCTACCTCCCCCCACCCTGAGCTGCTGACCCAGAGGCAGCAGCGCGGGTGGGCAGGCAGATCCCTGGGAGCTGGTGCTCGCAGGGAACCTGCTTAAAAAGAGCAGATGCTCATGGGGTGCCTGCTCCCCCCACCTGCTCTGCTGCCTCTGATACAGCAGCAGAGGTGGAGGGTGGGGGCTGTGCTGAGTGTAACCATGAAGGTTAAACACGTACACTATCACATCCCTACCTTCTAGCTGTCACTAACATTTCTTGGAGAGCAAATTACACAGGAGGGATAAATATTCAGCTTTAGTTAAGTTTTGTGGAACTACTGAGAAGTTTTACCAAGTAAAAAAAAGGTAACAAAAGTTTAGTGACATGTACATCTACCAACTCTATGTTTCTTGGCCTCTCAGTACTAGGAAATTGAATTAGTAACAATTCTTTGATGATAAATACACTTTTCCAAGTTTTAGTTCTTAGCCAGAAAGAAGCTTTTTGGATCCCTGATTATACAATATGACTTCTATGAATCCAAAAGCATTAGGGCTGGCTAGCTAGATGATTTAAGTGAAAATCTATACACAATCATTTGTGTTGTGAGATCTTTGACTTACTTGATGTTACAATTCTTCTGTAGATCTTCTTTCATTGCATTAGTCACACAGAAGTTGTAGTCAGATAGGCGTCCAAAAAACTTTTCATACCTGATAGAAATTAAACTTCAGTTATAAGCCAAACACCATTCCCATCTAATGAAACTGTGACACTGAATATCGGTTTCTCACCAATGTCTAATCTATGGAATGAAAATTAATATAATTAAACATAATTTTGCCTAAAATTATCAGGAGCTGTATCTTGCAATATTAATTTCTCAATTACTTCTTAACTTGCACATTATGTCTGTGTTGCTATTACTCAATAAAGAGCCCAGTATATAGAGTAGGGATGTTAAAATGCATTTATAAAGTATATGTGTAACCACTGAAAATTTCAGCATTTACACGG